CATTGCACAAGTTGCAATGCAAACATCTGGATCACATTGCACAAGTTGCAATGTAAACATCTGGATGTGTGTGCTGATGCTCAGCCTCCTGATTTAACATCCAGAAATTCAAAGTTTGATGCCATGAAAAACAAACATGTTGTCATTTTTAGGTTCCACCTTAAACATCTGGCTGACTGATGCTGGGAAACAGCTGGATCAGAACCACCGGACTGATGCTCCATCAACAGAAACACTCCCCCCCTCTCACCTGTGTCCTGTCTGAACTGGTGCATGGACTGGAGGTCGATGATGTAGGGCGACAGCCTGCTGTCCACCTGGCCGAGAACCACGCTCCCTCCGCGGGGGTCGCTGCTCCGGATGGCGGCCTCGATCTGGTGGGAGACAGCGGGGCTGTAGGGCCTCCAGCGGCCGTGTTCGTTCAGCCATTCCCACACCACCACCGCGGAGGCCAGGAGCATGTTGTTACCGGTGGCCCTGTGGAGGAATGAGGCGGTCAGTCTGATAGCTGGAGCTACAGGCTAACCACGGAAACACACAGCGCTGATTTCTGTCTCTTTTATTTCCTCCTTTCTGCGTTTATAAACACATTTCTACCTCATGGTGGATTAACCAGAGCAGATGGGGCCCGGAAGCTGCGGCTGTCTGGGAGGGAGGCTTACATGGAGCCGCGGAACAGCTAACACCGGGAGGCCCCGCATTCTCCCACTGAGCTCCGGGCTTTTCTCATGGCCGCCGGCTGGTCCGGTCCGGTTCTCCCTCCGTCTCACCGCGGAACCAGCCGCCGGTAACCGGGCCTAGGTTCGGTCTTCGGTGCTGCTTCGGTCCTCAGCCCGTTCCGGAGGCCTTCCGAGGTGAGCACAGTGATGCACCGCCTCCGTGCCGTGGGTCCCCCACGCAGCGGGATTATTCAGACCCAGCAGGACAGAGATCCCCGTGACTCCCAGCTTTTCATTCCCTTAGTTTTTAATTTTAACATCGACTCATTTCGGAGTTGATGAAAGACTCCGCGGCGGAGCTGGAGAGGAGGAACCGGCTGAGCCTGTTGGATCAACCCAAAGCAGAGCCTTTGTTCTCCGGCCGCTCGGTCAGTGAGTCCAGCAGCTCCACCTCACAGAGAAACAATAAAAACTCACCTGCTGCTCTGCTGCGTCCCTCCGATTCCAAGACTCCTGGAACAAAGTTGAACCAACTCCTTCATGAATTAAATCTACCCTTTAGGCTCCAGCATGGTTCCGTCTTTCTCTCCCCTTCACTTCACACAAAGAATAAATCCTTCTAACGTTTACCCTTCAAAATAAAATAAAAATCAAGTCAAGCAGAGAGAAAAATAAAACATTTCTGCAGTTAGGAAGAACAATGCAGGCTCTCCATATTGTGTCCTTCCATCTTCACCTCACTGTGAGAAAACCTCCCTGATGAGGCAGCAGCAGCTCCCAATCACTCAGCTCCTCCACTCACCACGCCTAGAAAATCCACCCGTGGGGAAAACAAGGAGAGCGGAATCACTAAAAACAAACTAACCGCAATTTGTGTTGCAGTATCATATTTATCGGGGTTTCATGCCAATTAAAATATATATACACAAATATATATTTGGAATAAACCTTATGTTTTCATATTTTCCATGGTGCAGTTTATCGTAACCTTTAGAAGGGGCAACATGGCGCCACCTGGTGGAGAAGGAAGATAATAATAAATGCATATCTGAATGGTTTGGTCCGCAGTCTGTGGTAAAGAATAATTGTTGCCGCAGCTGGATTCCCATAAACGGAACAAATTGTGTGAGCAGAATAGCAACTAACAAAAAATAACCACAACCAAAGCGACAACCCGCATAATTAATGTATTTATTCAAACTGTCATCTAGTGTATAGCATCTCCGGCTCCATAGCTCAGGGGTTAGAGCACTGGTCTTGTAAACCAGGGGTCGCGAGTTCAAATCTCGCTGGGGCCTGTGATACTTTTTTTTTTTTTGTCCTTAGTATTCCTAGTACCTTTCCAGCTTCTTAATAGAAGTTCTTTAAAATACAGAAGTTAAAATGAGTAACTGACGGGACAATCAGAGCATACACAATCTGTCTACAATAGAAATGAAGAAGCAATGTATACAGAATAAAATAAAACCAATATGTTAAATGAATGATTGAGAAATATCACAGTCTATGAGGAAAACGGTTATTTGTCAGTTCTCGCAAAATACAACATATTCCAACTGCACTTAAACGCCCCATTGCATATAATGGGAAAATACGGGAAAATTTGAGCTTTGCAATGGTCTATAAATGCGTCATTAGCAGAGCTGACGTGACACAAAGCGGACAAATTAGAAGCAATTAAGCCACATTAACACATTTTAATGATAAATATGATGAAAATATTAACTATTATGTCAAAAACAAGCAAATTAAACAGTTCAATTCAGTAAAATACCAAATTATTTACAACAGGAAACTCAATAACTCGCTATATTTCTTCCAATTAACCAGACAATAAAAGAGGAAACCTTACAGTCACATCTGGACGCATAAAGTCCACACTTAGAGAGAGAAAAGGGTGGCTGTCGTCTGCTGACCGTTACCTGTGAACTAACGAGGACTGATAATTGAACCTTAGAGAAAAGTCAGCTCTGATTGGTTGTCGCCTGATAACCAGGTTTCATAAACTATTATAGGATGCTGATGCGTTCAAAGTGTTTAGAAACAAAAAAACACCGGAACCTGGGCACGAGGTTGGTGGATGGAGAGAGAAAGACGCGTGTCTCTAAGCCTTAATCAGGGAGACTCTGCAGATTGGAATTCAATTCAGTTATTGAAAACCGTAAACCAACTAGTAGGAGAAGTCTGAAGTGCCTCCATTTAATAACAGTGTAATCTGTTAACCAACTGCGGAGACAGCACAGTTCAGTGCAGCTTGGTGGAGAACAAAATGATTAGCAGGGTAGTGATTGGAGGAGAACCTCTTCAAGTAACTGACAAAGAAATTCTAGAAAATATCAGTGGTGCAAAAGTAAAAGGTGAAATGGTTCAAAACAACAAGAAATGCAGAAAGGTGTGACAGCCTATCAGTGTCAATCCAATTTGCAAAGTAAGCTTTACAAGAGCTGATTATCGCGGCATTTAAAATGCATTATTTTCGTCAGATATTTCAGATATAAATGGTTCTGGTTGATCGTAAAGCCGTATGCTCGGAAAAGAAGCTTGAGGTGGAGAAAAGGCTAGAGAATGCGAAAATGCACATTTTTTCAAAGTTTTATAACAGGCTGCTAACATATTTT